CCAACGGGGAGCCTAGTCAAGCAGGGACTCATTTATTGCAAGTGTTCCAAAGCTTACAAAGGCACCTGGAACTGCCCCCTCCCCCCCTGAGGGTGTATCTTAAGGATGGTAACGCACTGATCATGCACTCCTCAGCAGTGTGGAAGTATTCTTCAGACTTTCAAAGCAAGCCAGGCCGTGCCCCCAGTAACTTCCTTTCGGACCTATGCAAGGTGGGGCCTTTAGGTCCCCACAGGGGGTGATTTAGAAAACTTTAAGGAGGAGATTTATTTTATAGTTTTAGGAGGTTCCAGTACATTGTCAGTTGTCTCCATCATCTTGGGCTACATGGTGAGGCAGAATGTCACAGCAAAGAGCTCAAGGTAGAGCAAACTACTCACCTAATGACAACTGAGATGCAAAGAGGGAAGAAAGGACTAGACCCCAATGCAACCCTCAAACGTTCACTACCAATAATTGGACTTTATTCCACTAGGCTCAACCTACTTAAGGGTCCACCATCTCCCAATAGGACCACAGGCTGACAGCTGAGACTAGCTCACAGAACTTCAGACGACATGTAAGATCCAAAACATAGATCCCAGGCATGATGGCTCACATCTATAAATTCCCAGACTTAGGGAGGCTGAGGCAGGAGGATTGCCAAGAGTGTGAAGCCAATCCTGGCTGCATAGTGAGTTCCAGGTCAAGCTAGATTGGAGAGTGAGACCCTGTCCAAAAATTCAAGGACAAAAATCCAAACTATAATAGACAACAAATATTATTACTATTTCCATTATAGGTATAATTTTTCAATTTATTTTATGTGCCCGTGTCTGTGTGTGTGTAGGTAGGGGGACATGCATGTGCTTACAGCAGGCATGTGGAGGTCAGAAGGCAACTTTCAGAAATCTGTTGCTTCCTTCTACCATTGCAGGTCCTGGAAAGGAACTCAGGTCATCAGGCTTGACAGTAAACATCTTTACACATTGATAGATCGTGCCAACTCTAGAATATACACTCTCTTTGAGTTAAGAACTGTTGGAGCAGGATATCCAAGCTCCTTCTTGAATCATTTTTCAATATCATCTCTCTTTATCTTCAGGAAAAAAATCCTAGCACAATAGAAAGTAAAATCTGGGAGTCTTTAGTTATATTGTTTGAACAGACCAATTCCAGTATATAGATTACTCCTTCAAGTCAGAAATCAACTGTTGCATAGGACTGTCCACCTAGACAAACAAACATGGACAGATGCCTTCTTCCAAAGCTTGGTTGCACCTGCTTGCCTAGGATCACCACAGCTAAACTTGTTGACTGTTACACTCCACAAGAAAAGATGGGCAGGGTGAGTCAGCCATACCTCCAAACCAACCACTGGGTCCTAGTTGCACTAGGCAAAGGGGCTAAGGGTATATAAACTGAGGAAGCCATGGGGAGGCTGTCATGATGCACACCTGGATGGAGACTTTCCAGTGCAATCTTAGGAGAAAAGTACCCACATGGCAAACCATTATCCATTGTTCTGTAAGTAGGTCCAATAAACTCCCTGGTTTCCTAGATTGCAGTTGGTCAAATCGGACCTTGGTTTGTCATAGGAACCAGGGGAGAAGGAGGCCAGACATCATTTTCACCTCCCAAAGGGAATTTTAGCTACATCAACATATCTATAACTGAATTCTTTGGTACTGGTGATAGAGATTTACAAACATAACGAAAGTTTCTTTCTGCTAGAGGCTGATTAATAAGAATATTTGTGCACACATATGATAAGTCATTTTCTAATAGGTTCACTTCCACTCAGATGAAATTCAATATTTATAACTCTTGGTGCCTTTTCATGGTATTAATTTTTCCAAAAAGTGTGCTTAAATTCATGTAAAGCATGAAATTTGCAATTTTGAAAATTTCATGTGTAGTTCAACGGCATTAGTTACCTCATATTTTAATAACCATAACTAACATTTCAAACCTTTTAAAATCACCCAAATGATTATTTTGTATTTATTAACCAGCCACCCTCTATCCTTTCCTTCCCTTAGCCACTGGAAACTCCTGACTTATTTTCCAGCTCTTTGAATTTGCCTAGTAGTGGTACTATGCATAATAGATAATCTTCAATGTCAACTTGATTGTAACAGCAATCACTTAGGAGATACACTTCTAGGTATGCCTGTGAGAGGGTTTCCAGAGGTGCTTAACTAAGGGAAGAAGACCCACTGAGTCTTACAGATGACCTCCTACAAGGGAAAAAATGGAGAAAGCGAGTTGAATACCTGTTTTCATCTCTCTAGGCTTCCTGGCTTGGCTGAAATCTCACAAGCTGCTTCCAAACACAATTGATTGTATCCTCTCAAAGTGTAAGACCAAATGAGCTCTTTATTTTTCTAAAATAATATTTTTAATTATGCTTGTAAAAAATCAGATATGCATACAGTGCACCTTAATTATATCTACCACTCACCACCTGACTCTCCAAAGGACCACCTCAACCTCTCTCTCTCTCTCTCTCTCTCTCTCTCTCTCTCCTGTATGTCCTCTTTATACCTATTTATTAATTTGTTTATTTATATTTTATCCATGTGTTTGTATATGGTTTTGAGTGTTTGCTTGCATGTATGAGTGCACCACATACATGCAATGCCCACAGAGGTCAGAAGAGGGCATCAAATCCCCTGAAACTGGACTTACAGGCAGTTGTTAGCTGCCATGTGGGTACTGGGAACCAAATCCAAGTCATCTGTAAAAGCATCAGAGCTCTTAACCACTGAGTTTTCTCTTTGGGTCCATATTTATTTGTTTTAACCCATTGACTCTAATTACTGCTGTCCATATGAGTATGGCTATGGGATCATCCACTGGGGCATGAGCAATCTACACATGGCTGTACACTCAAAGAAAAGCGATTCTCCTCCCGCAGCAGCCAGGAACTGTCAATAACTCTGGGTAGCCTCGCCCCAGTGCATGCTCAAGGCTTTACCTGGTTTAATCTTGTGCAGATAACCACAGTAACCTTGAGCTCATCAGTTTAACAGCCATATCAAGTCTGGAAGGCAGCATTTTATAGCACGTCTCCCCATCCTCCAGTTTTTAGGTTCTTCCTGCATCCTCTTCTGTAATATCCCTGAACCTAGGGGACAGGGCCAGCATTTTTCTTTAAGTTGCTTTTGCTAGACTTTTTGTCACAGAAAAAAGTGACCAACACATACAATCATATATTTCTTCTTTTGTGTCTAGTTTATTTCACTTACTAATTTTCAGAGTTCGTCCATATGGTAGCACATTTCAACCTAACTTTTTAAATGATGAGTGTTATTCCACTGGGGAGATAATTGTGATTGATATTTGAATTTATTCCACATTTATAAGAAAGTATCCCTTCATGTCCTTGCTCTCAATTTTTCAATGTATATTTTTATTGAGTTTTGTGAATTTCATACAATAGATTTTAATCGTATTTAGACCACCAGCCCTATCTGCAGCTCTCCATAGCTGAACTCCCTTCCAGAATGCTAGGAACACGGCTGCACTACAACTCTCACTTCGTGGAAGTATGCTTCTAAACACAAACTAAAGGAGTTTGTCCTTCACTTTTAGCCTTGAAGTCACCATGACATGACCTTGAGTAAGTGTAAATCATCTAATACGATAATGAAATTCCTATGTGTTTTGCACTGCTTAAAAATTAATCATGTGTGAGCTTTGTATGAATTTTATACATTAAGCTTTCTAGTTAAAAAAAAAAAAAACTTGCCAAGAAACAATAAGGCACTCTTGAGCTGGCACAAACCTGGAGTCTCCTGGTCTGTAATTCAACAACTATGGTTTTCACATTATCTCTTGCACTCGGTTCTAGAACAGTTTTCTAGTGCCAAGAACAGATGCCCTTGCTTGCTCAATAAGAAACCCATGATGCTTGAGGTTTCCCCAGAGTTCCTTCATGTTCTGGATGAAGTAAGAGATAGGTGCAACACTCACCTGCTTTGACAGGTGGAGGAGCAGATCCTATAGGTGAAAATTCCAGTGTCTTCTATTTGAAATGTTTCTGAATTCTCTTTGACTGACTTCTCCTTGTGGTTAGTTTAGGCAGCTCTTACTTCACAACAGAATGTTTCAAAGCTGCTCTGTGTTGCTACATTGCTAACATAGTAAACTCCCTTTTTATTTGTTAAGGTGGATTTCAGGGTCTGCTGGTGCTCTTTCTGAGTGAAAGGATGAATCTAATGCTGAAGATTCTTCACTGTCACGTTAAATAGTTTGGGGAGAAACAGTGGGACATGTGAAAACTTGGTTGCAATGTAAAGCAAAATGGTTGTGGAGCAGCCAGGAACCACAGAAAGAACTTTGTTCTCAGAATTTACCTTTCTTCAGCAACAAACTTTTAATTAGCTTAATTAGACCAGTTTTAATGTCACAGCAAAATTAAGCAGAAGTTCGATTAATTTCCTATATTCCCCTTGTGCCCACAAATCCACCACTTCCCCTATCACAACACTGAGTGATGCACTGTGACATAATACTATCATTATATGTCTATACTCTCATTTTTAAGGGCTTAAATTTATGCACACAGCAAATAAAATGCTGAGGATACACTATAATTGGTGGCGCACGTCTTTAATTCCATCACTCGGGAGGCAGAGGCAGGCGGATCTCTGTGAATTCAAGGCCAGCCTGCTCTATATAGTGAGTTCTAGGACAGCTGGGGCTACAGGGAGACCCTGTCTCAAAAATACCCCCCAAAATTCCATAATCCATAATATAAATTCCAGATTATCTACAATCAGATCATCTTCAACAACTCACATCCCTGAAAAAGAAAAATTAAATAAAAAATAAAAACCTTGTAATGAAGATTTCACTTCACCGTCCTAATAACAAAAACAGTGAAAACACCATAAGATCTTTCTAAGAAAACTGATTGGAAGTGAATTTAACCAAAGCACATTATATGCATGTAAAAAACACTTTTTAAAAAATGGTTACATTTCTTTGTCTTTATCCCTCAGTTAATCTCACCATTATTCACAATACTTCCAAATCTTGTCTTTGTTGTAATTTGGGGTCAGTGAACACCATTTTCTTCCATACACCTCCCCATCCTCAGTGCAATCCCAGTAGATCATACGTCTGAACCAGAAGGGAAAGGCACACTGAGCATGGTCTGTAAGAGAAAGAGCCAGTGAGACAGAAACCCTTTGTACTTTGCAGGACACACAGACACACGCACATATATACACACCCAGACACACACTGGACAATCATGTCCACCCCTAGTCCATCAAAGGCATATCAGCATATCCAAACAAGAATACTGTCAATACTCTTTTTTAAATATTTTTTATTGTACATGTATAATTGTTTTGCCTGCATGTCTGCATGTGCACCATGTGTGTCCAGTGTCCACAGAGGTTTGAAGACAGTTGCGAGCTGCCATGGTCCTCTGGAAAAGAAGCAAGTGTTTTCAACTGCTGAGTCATCTCTCCAGACACTCTTTTGATGTTCTACTGGTAGGTTTCTTGTCAAGGTAATGCAGTCAAAATACTTCTAATACATCATTCTTTCTATGCAATTGGCGGGGGGTGCTTGGGTTTTGTTTTGTTCTCACTATGTAGCCCCAGCTGACTTGAATCTCACTGTGTGGACCATTCCCAGACTGGCCTTGATCTGACAGTGATCCACCTGCCTCTGCCTCCCAAGTGTTGGGATTAAAGACACGCACTAACATGCTTGGCTTACTATGTGATTTTGGTGCTGTCAGAAATTGTGCATCTCAGGACTTGGAAGATGACTCAGTATAAAAATCTTTCAATACAAGCATGAGGATCTGAGTTCATATTCCCAGCACCCAAATGAAAAGGCAGGCAGCAATACCACATGCCTCTAATCTCAGCGCTGGGCAGGCAGAGACAGGATGGTCCCTGAGATTTGCTGGATACCTAGCCTAACCAAATCATAAGCTCCAGGTTCTGTGAGATACCTTGTCTCAAAAAAATAAGGTAGAAGGGGCTAGAGAGACCACTCAGCAGTTAAGAGCACTTACTGCTCTTTCAGAGGACATGGGTTCAAATCCCAACACCCACATGGTAGCTAACAACCATCTCTAAATCCCATTCCAGGGGATTCAATGCCCTCGTCTGGCCTCTGCAGGCATTGCATGCATGAAGTGCACTTGCGTACACACAGGCAAAAATTAATAAATTCATACACTTAAAACTTAAAAAATTTAAAGATAAGATGGAGACTTCTCGCTTCCATACACACAAACAAGCACATACTCATACACACACACACACACACACACACACACACACACACACACATATGTGTGTGTGTGTGATGCACATACACACAAAAAGAAATTTTTGATTTCTTATTTCCACAACAGATTACCTACCACCTTGTAGAATTTAGTGGCAAGACACTTACCTGACAGAGCACAATACTTCCAATATCCTTGGAAAGTCTCATTTAAAGAACACCAATGGTGTTTTGCATTGAAACGGACACAGTCGTAGAACAGTCCACTTCTATATCTGAATGGAAAGACACATTCCCCATCTAAGAGAAAACAAAAATCCTTCATCTGTCTCTGAGGATGTTAGTGTTTTACAAAGTGAGTTCTTGCCCTAAATGGGACATCTATATGGACCCACCTCCCAAAGCTCAGGAAACATTGCAGAAAAAAAAGAAACAGAAAGAAAGGAAGATTCAGAGCCTGGGGAGGAGTGCTGTGAAGTACTGTCTTTTGAATGTGACACACTCACTGAACTCATCAACTCACTGCAGCTGTGTTTACCCACATAAGAACTGCACAATAACAAGTCAACAAGATCAGTCATAATTCCAAAGCCACTATGATAGTTGCCAAAGGTGTAGAGGGAAAATGACCATGTCCTGAATCCTGGAAGCATCAAAAAATATTACTTACTGGGCTAAAGAAATAACTCAGTGGTTAAGAGCACTGGCTGCTCTTGCAGAGGATGTGGGTTCAATTCCCAGCACCCACATGGCTGCTAATAACCATCTGTAACTAACTCCAGTTCCATGGGAACCCAATGCCCTCTTCTGACCTCATGGGCATTTCATGACACGAGTGTACCTATACACTCATACACATAAAATAAAAATAATAAATAAAACATTTTAAAAACATTCCTTATTATTTAACTCTTCCTAGGCTGATGCCATATTTTTATATGATAATATCTGTAGTATGACAAAATAGTTGATCAGATAAAGTGTTTTTCTACCTCACTGCTATTTTGTTCATAACACGTAAAATTATTATTGGTTGAGTCTCTGTGTGAATTTTAAAATCTGGCATTCTCTATTAGACTGACAGGTATTAAAAAGTATGAAAACTTCCAGTATTGATGAGAATTCATGGTGGCATGGTTCTCTCTGTGTTATCTGTTTACAGTGTAGTCATAATACACTTGAAAACAGAGGAAAAAGAAAATTTTGCCAGAAGCCAAATCATTAATTTCCTCATTTTCCAAAATTAAGAGAAAACATATATTAATAATGAAAATTTCCTGATCAACTTACCTTCTGCCTCTGGCTGTCTAATTATAGAATCTGAGAAATAAAATTTGAAGTAAAGTTTATTTCACCCTTAGGGTTTAAAACAAGTTCTTATAACAAGCAACATTTAATAAAAATGTTAGTATGAGGAAAAGTGAAATTGTTTTTAAAATATGTTAAGGATATAATGCATATTCTATTTTTCAGTCCTGGTTTTATGCTCTTGATATGAATTATTTTATATAAATCCTACATGATTTATCACATTGTTGGGGATTGAACCCAGGGCCTTGTTCATGCCCCAAGGGCATTGGTTATTTTTTGAGCCTTGTCCCCAGCCCCTCACTGGGGGATTCTAGGCAGGGGTTCTACCACTGAGCCACATCTCCAGCCCCTCACTGGGGGATTCTAGGCAGGTGCTCTACCACTGAGCCACACCCCAGCCCCTCACTGGGGGATTCTAGGCAGGTGCTCTACCACTGAGCA